TGGAGAAGAAAGCAGGGATGGTGACTGGTCAATACTGGATGCAGAACTACACAGGAGGCAAGACAGCAAGCTCCTGTGCCACCTCATCACATACCCTGAATAGAGCTGAGAGGTCAATACCTCATTTTGGAGGCAAATGGGCCAGACTGACTGAGGGGATAACAGACAGGTATTTTTCTTGAACGCCTTCTGGCTGAGGTGGCCTGGATTGGCTCTTAGGGAGCCCATGAACACCAGTTCTGACTGAGCCAGAAGGGTCATGGCTTCCTCCTCTGCAAAAAAACCCAACCTTTATCTTACTCTCCCAAAGGCAACAGGCAGCCCTTAAAGCCTCTGGCCCAGATGACCAGGTCTGCAGACTGAACTCGCGTCCCCATCCCAACATGTAGAGTGTCACCTCTCTGACAGCTCTCCCTGCGCTCCTCAGGAAACTGCATCCCCTTCCTGAACACCCTCCTGAAATGTCCCAGTGGGGCACTGAAGGGCTGTCTCGGAGCCTGCCCATGATGTCTGGAAAAGCTGTGGTAGATCCTTTGGCTCCCTGGGCTTTCCAACAGTGACCTCGCTACCGCAAGTAGCTCAGCCTCCCCAAGGCCATGCAGGCAGCCCCTGCTCCTCTGCCAGCTCTTGGGGGTTCACGTCAGCAACAGCGCAGGGCCATGTCCCTGTAACTGTAACGGGAGGACTCCTCCAGTGTGCAGAGGTGGTTCCTGACCCTGGCAGTAGCTGCGGTGTCCTGAAATGTCACTGCACGGCACTGCTGAGGTGCGTCCTGACCTTCTCAAGCTGGTGTACCCTAAAACCAGTACAAACAGTGTGAGGTCTCATCAAAGGTTGCAACATCTGGGCAAATGTATTTACTGCAGTGGCTCAAAGGATAAATTAGAAATAAATAGAAGGGAAGGTGAACTGGCCAAACTAATGTGTATGGTCTGTGCTGTACAGACTCTTCCCACATGTGGAAGCCACTGGCACCCAATGGGCTCATGGGGCCATGGCTTAGCAAGGCTCTGCTGGGCTCAGCAGCGTGCAAATTGTACAGGGAGGGAGTTGGGGGACAGAAATCTTTCATTCAGGAGTGACAGGGACTGCTGAAAATTGGTATCAGATCATTATTTCATCACACATTTCTGCAGACCATTGCAGTGGTCAGAACGGCTGCCAGGATTTTGGGAAAGAGGCCCCAGCTCCTTGCAGCCTCACAACCTCCCCGTGCTGAAGTGTGGCTCAGACACATGGGCTTCATGGCTGATGTGGCTGGGAAAGACCTCAACTGTGTGAAGCTCCCAGCCCATGAATTCGGGTCTAGCCAGTCATTATGGACCCTTCTCAAATTCTTAATCTACTGCGTTCCTGACTCTTTCTAAAATGCAGGAGAACAGAAAAACTGGTAATTACATCAGCTAAAACAGAATCACACAAATCAGGGCTGAAAAGGAACTGGAGACATTAGGAGCTTTTCTGGGACAGACATGGATGGAGCAGACTGAGTCCAGGAAGAATCAAAAGCTAACCCAGGGCAGGACCGGACACTAAGCAGTTAGGAAAGTTGATGGTAGAAAGGCAATCGGTACCTGTGATGGCCTTGCTTCCTGGGGATCCAGAATTTGGAGCGCGGAACATCTGGGACTGGGATGCCGGTGGGACGCCGGACGGGGTGCGGTGCAGGAGGGTGGAACATCGGTTTATGGAAGCCGGTGTTTTTTTGCTGGATTGGCTCGTCTGCGTCTTCACTGCCACGAAGAGTGGAGATCGAGAGAACTCTGGATATGAACACTCAGAACTAGTGCCTGGACAGTCAGTCAGCTCCCAGACCGTGTGCCTTCTGGGAGGGTTGCTTTCTAACAGCCACGCTCACCAATCCCTTGCATGGGGACCTGCAGTGACTGTGGATCCACCGATCCCACGTGACAAAACTGCCTTCCCCGCTCCCCCGAGGGGACAGACCCTCACAGTTGTTAGTTCCCGTCCACACCTTGAACTGCCACCTGATCAACCCATTCCAAAAAAATCCTGGAGCACTGTTTGGGTGCCATGGCCTGGCTGGGTGTACCTGCATCTCTGCCCTCCATTTCTATGTATGTAAGACGATGAATTTTGAAAGCAAGTTTCTCATCAGAGCTCTAAACAGGGGAAGTTTACACCTTTGTTACTTCAGCCTTGCATAAATCCTAGAGATCTCCAGCTACGTTCTTTGTCTCAATAACCAAATACAAAGGAAAGGGGGCTGTTGGTGATGGAAGGGAATTAGGAGGCAGAGTTCTCATCCTGCAAGTCAGGAAAGGCCTCTTTCCCCCCGTCTCCAGACAAATACTGGTGACACGTGGAGAAATTCGGAGTATTACCGGGATATTCTCTTTGAAGGTATCTACATTTTGGTCTCTGCAATGCACAGTGAGGATCACCAGGAATTTTCAATGCCAAAAGCCGTATGAAAAACCTCTGTGAGGACAGCCCTTTGCCTAGGCCACATGGATCAAGACAACAACTACGAAAATGGAGAAACCACCTAACAACCCCCTTCATTCCTCAGTGGCTTCTTCCATGGAAATTCAGATGTCTCCTGAAGCCCAAGTCCCACTCCAACCATCTGCAATGAAGAACCAAGGTTCACGTAACCCACAGCCCAAGCTGACTACCAGTAATTTCTACAGTGATATTTCATCATTTTTAGGAGAAGAGTCACCCAGGCTGGGACTGGCTGCTCATTTCCAAAATCCCACGAGCCGTTTTACACCTCGGAAGTGAAGTGACTTCATCTTACCCTGTCAGCAGCACTGGAGTGTGAGGATGTGTGCATCCAAAGAGGCCTGCAAACAGATACTCAAAGCAAACAGGGTTTTTTTGCTTCTTTTGATCCGATCCACAGCTCCAAGACGACATTTCCTGCAAACATTAGTGCACTTCTGCAGGTGGTTCTGCTCTAGGTTTTCTCATAATTTAGGTGAAGATATTTCTCCCTCTCTTTGGTCTCTGGCCAGCTGAATATGCAGTAGGTTTGCTTCTGCTTTCTACACTTCCTTTCCATCTCCATGGATAATCCTCCTCCAGTTGCTGCCAGACTGACAGCAAAAATGTAGTCAGATATGGCAATCTTCTGCTTATGCGTCACTTAGTTTTCTACGAGGCCCATTCCCACCAACTGCCTCTGTAGGATGCTAATAATTCATTGAAAAAAAGCTTTAGATGACAAATACCCTCAAAAGACTCTGTAACACAGGTAGAGACGATCATGCATCTCCTCTGTTCAGCTCCTGAAGTCATCTTCACTGTGGAACTCACTGCTGCAGGCTCATGAAAAGGCCAAGTTCAAGATATCTCCAAAAATGAAAAGACTGCATTGCTGAATGGTTACAAAAACGTCCTGCCTCAAAATCTGGAGCTGGACAGCAAGACAGGGGACAGACAATCCCACAACTGCTCTATGAAGTTTTTTAAACTTTCTCAGAGAGCACCTGAGAGACACCCCAGTTGAGGCTGATGTACTGGAGAAGGGAGGGCAGGAGAGGAGTGATGAGGAGGGCAAGTCTCACCGAATGACCTCCAGTCACTTGGTAAACTGAGCGCACTGTGCACACAGAATGGCACCTGGTGTGCTAAAGAATACAGATGATGCAGTGATACTTAAAAGATACTTTCCACCTTGGCAGCAGGAAAGAGCTTGGTCATTGCTGTGCTCGGTCACGACGGCTGTAGAGGAGCTCCCAGGGCAATGATGCAGCTGAAAAGACTGAGGTACTCCTTGGGTATGCAACTGGGCACTTCCAGAGGGGATCAGACACTGTTAGTGCTCAGTTCCTTCACCAGACCCAGTGCTGGTGCATGCCCTTCACAGAGGTAGTTAACAGACTTGAGAATAACCAGATGAGAAGGCAAGTGGATAAATAAAGGACAAGAACAGCCTGGCTTACAGTGGAAACAGCAACTCACTCCTCTGGCTTAACTGGGAGCTTAGTCACTATGGAGTGACTCGACAGCAGGCTATGCAAAGGTCTAGAAAGGACAGAAATTTGTACCTTAGCCCTCCTTCACCTAGCAGACGAAGTTATAAATAGGATCCAGTGTCTGAAAGCTACAGCTGTATATTTTTAGTGTTAATTTAGTGAGAGTATTAATTCATCAAAATAATTACCTTAAGAGGCTGCTGTATTTTCTGTCACTCTTCTCTTCAAGATTAGGTGTCTCTCTAAAACATATACGTGAGCAGTAAAATCAAGGCAATCCTATAGCATGTGTCACTCCAGTTAGTCCACAGATTGATCAGTGGTCCCTCCTGGCTTTCCTGTCTTTGGTAAGGTCTTCAAGCCCCGTGAGTGGCAAGCAGAAAACCTGGCAGATGTTTCAACACGTCTCCTCAAAAGACACATAAATCCACGCACCACCACAATGAACCACCACAACAGAACAGGGATCACGTTGTCTCAGTAACTTTGCTTTTTCCAGGTAAAAATTCTGGCAAATAACTTGTGTATCGCATTTTTACAGAAAGATCTTGTCAGGATGGGTAAGGAACCATTTGGATGGTTCAGATGGAATTACACCATCACCTCTGGAGAAAAACCTATCTTTAATGAACATGATGACAGTGGTCTGAAATTCAATATGCTGAATGGAAACCTCTGCTACTGGAAAAAAGGACTTTCCAGAGGAAAACCCCAGTGCTCAAACCTATCAAATTCTGCTGCTTTACACAAATATCGCCAGTGAAGCCTGTTGCTAAGGCACTGTGGGATCAGAGAGTGGGAAAAGCATATGAATCCACAGATTTCACTCACTGAGATGGAGGAAGCAAAGACACACCACCCAACTGGAATCTGGATCTGTTTTTTTCTTTCTTAGGCAGAACCTGTGTGGAAACTACCAAAAAGGATCCCTTTTCCTAAAAGAAAAAGCCATGATGGCAGCTGCCTTTAAGAAACATTTGAGCTTAAGCACTTTTGATGAACAAATTGTATCCAGCATCCTTCACATTAAGAGAAGAAATTGAGCAGAGAGGCTTCATGAACTTCCTTGAGCACCTCAGGTGTCAGGGTGGATGTAAGTCTGTCTGTCCCCTGTTGAGGCAAATACATTCATGGGGCTGGCAGGGCAGGGTCTTCAACAGTGAGGGCCCATCTCACAGACCCTGAGAGGCAAGACAGGACCAGAGATGACAGCCAGGTTCAACCAAGAGTCCACATGATCAGTAAGTTTGCGGTGATGAGACAGGGCTGTGGTCAAGCCAGAAAGTCAGCCCACAGGTCAAGGGCAGGATCAGCTTTGGTGAGGATAACCAGGGCCAGACACATACCAGCCATCATCAGGGAGGTCCAGAGTGATGAGACAGGGTTGACATCAAGCTGAGAAGTCAGTTTACAGGTTGGGATACAGACCAATGGGATCCAGTGTCAGGCATGGGCACATCTGCAACAGAGCTGGAGATAACATCCTGCAGCGTAGCTCAGGCTGGTGCTGATGATCCAGAGCTGAGCTGAAATAGGGAGTCTGAATGTGGGCAGAGGCCCCGTGTGAGGCTGGTCAGGGACATTATGACCTATTAGTGCACTCAGAGTCCTGACATCACCTGGATTTTCAACCTGGGAGCAACAGACATGGATAGCTGTGCAGATTTTAGTGCTCTCACCACATACTTCCATGACCAGGGAGTCTGTTGCCTTATCTGGAGTTACCAGAAGATGATGAGGTGAGCACACACTCCTGACCCTGGCCTTGCCAAGCTAAAACCCACTCTTGGTGGCTTTTCTAGCCAGTCCACATCCCAAACGCACGAGGTTTTCTCTGCACTGCAAACTCATCATCCAAGAGCAACCACAATAGCCCAGCCCCCTGCAAATGTGGCTAAATCAGTTCCATCTTCCAGAGCAGACAGAGCCTGGAGGAGGACAGAGAGAAACCTCTGAACCCTCCCCCTGCGCACCTCACTTCAGTGGCATTCCTAAAACTGGGACAATGAACGTGCCTACAACCCACTTTTTTTGGAAACAGCCTCTGACACCCTTCTTAGAAACAGTGAATAGGCTGACAGAAACAGAATACGTATTTTAAAAGAGTAATAGCCCAGTTCTAAGCATATGACAAAGCCCCTACTCCTCACTGACAAAAGGGGACTTTTGAAGGAGACATTTGGCATTAACAATTCCAGGGAACTCCACAGCAGAGCTCTTTTCCAGACAGCAGCTATCCAGCAGCACTGACCAAAAATTATCCTGCAAGGTCCTATTGACCCTGCAGGATGAGTCTTTGTTTTAGCCCTATTTCAACGAATTTTTATCCATTATCACAGAAAACCAGAAAGACAGGCTCTGAAAGGAAAGCTTGCACTCAGAGACACCCAGAAAGCTGGACTGGTAATGCTGAAGCTTTTCCTTACCCGTTCCCACTATGGCTATTTTTTCTCAGCATTTGCCTTATAAGCACAAGAACAAGACTAGGGTAAAGACAAAGCCTCAGATTTACTTCTTCTGGCTGCTAGGGCTCGAGAAAAGCCAGCTGTGCTTTTCAGAAGCCATGTGTTTACAGCTGCCTCACAGGACCCTGGTTTAGAGCAAGAGCAGAGTCAGAGCAGTTGAAAGGTGGAGGATGTACCAGCCAACCTGCCTTGGGAACTAAACATACCCTCTCATCATATGCTCATCAGGGTTAGTGGTTTGTAAATTGTAAATCTTACTGGTCATGGGAACTAGGAGCAGAAAATAAAAGGTTGAAATAAAAAAAGGAAAAAGAAAAATTTATGGGGAGGGGGTTAAACCTCATGAAAACATTATCCTGATCTGATCCTAAGTGTCCCCATAGTTAAAGATATTTGCTGGAAAGACTGGAAACCCATTTGCACATCTCAGTGACTGCTGGCCTAGTGTGCAGCAGGGGGAGATTCTTTTGCTTTCACAGAGGTTACTGCAGAAACCATGGTGCAAGCATGGCTTCAACCCCAGCATTCAAAAGAGTGTGCCTCCTCCTCCTCCCAAACTGGCTTCTGGTAGTGAAAAAGGGGGCATCAGGGCCCTGCAGCTGCAGAGGGAGAAGGGCAGGATCTGCGTGGACCATTGGTATCTGCAGTCAGACCTGCAGGGCCCACTTCAGGCAAAAACCTTTCAGAGAGGAGCTGTTGTGTTTTTCCTTTACACTGGATACCCTGGACTGGCCCAGCAGCTGCAGCTCATTGCTACAGACGGCTGTGAGGGTGGGGAGATGATACCCATAGCAATAAATCCCCTTGAAATGGGAAGCACTGGGAAGGTATCTGCTCGTGCTGACAGCCCTCACAGCACACTGCTCCTCAGCTGTTCCACAGCGTGGAGCAGAGACAGCAAACCCTTGGTGTCTGAGGGCCCATCTGTACTGGGAGACTGACCTACTGATCACCACCAATGGCTTTACTGAGGACCTGAAAACCCCTGAATTAAAAGGTGCTGTTTGGGTGTACAGGGATGTTTAGGAATAGCTGTTATGTGTGCAATCACAAGCACTGGGTTAGTTCCCTTGGGCAGATGGGAGACAGCAAGACCAACACTGTGTCAATTGTGGTAGAGGTATTTTATGCCATACACCTTCCACCACGACCTTGGTTCATCTCCATGCCCCAAAGAACCTGCATGGGAGCCACCAAGCCACCTTAAAGTGATAGTTTGGTGGACCATGTTCCCAAATTGTTTCTATAGGTGCCTAAAACCAAAGTTGCCTTCTTATAATAACTCAAAAACTGAAGTGTAATATGGGGAGGAAGGTGTGTGCACTCCCTCTGCTGGCTGCGGATGAGTGGCTAAAGAAACCCATCACGCTAACGAGCTCAGCTCATCCACCCTCAGCATCAGCCAAAACACTGGCAGTCGGATGGACACGGGCAAAGAGCAACCACGCTGGCTCACAGCACTAAAACTGCAATAAAGCTATGAAAAAAGCATGAAATTCAGGTGTCAAGAACTTCTCTACAATCTTTTAAAGCACCCAAAACCAGCATGTAGCGAGAATTTCTTTCAACTGTTTTACTAGAATTTGGTACTGAATTACACTTAATTGCTCATTAAACCTCCCCCTACTTTGTCTGGGGAGTGCAGACCGTAGTGTTACGTAGGATGCTGAGAACTGCCTTTTCTCGAGCTCCCTGAAATAAATATTTCATTGACTGTGATATAGTAGCAAGCTGCCAAGGTCATTTACATGATTTTGAAACCCAGTTTTAACTCAGTGTCTGAAATAATTTCTCAGAAGCTTGTCAGAAAGAAGCTTCTCCCCTATCATGTGATTTAGGAGAGTCTAAAAATTTTGTGCATTGCTTCAGTTAAACAACAAGATAAAATACCATATCCTCAAGGAATGCATCTAGAATTGCATGGACTTTGGTAAAAATTCAGTGACATTACAGTCACTGTGTCCCTCTGAGAGGAGGTTCCAGCTCAGCTTCACGGTGCCCTGGTCAGCACGCGACCGAGGTCCTGCCAGCTGCAATCCTACAGCTCCAGTGGAAGGAACCACAAGAACGATCCTCTCTCCTGCAACCCTCGTGTTTGCCACCAGCCACCGAACACCACAGTTTGTAATGAAATGATCTCCAGCAGGATACTCACTAATAGGCGCGTGCAGCGCCACGTGCTCTTGGTAGGGAGTGTAGTATTTGTACTGCTTGCCGCAGAATTCACAGGTGTAATTGCCAGTTTCTGTGAAGATAAAACAAATGCAAAGATCAGAAAGGAGTGCAGCACCTTCTCACACCATCACTGACTTCCTGGCTTTTTATACAGAAACTGGCCAGGTGACAAAAACTGAGCATATTCGTCACGCACTCAGAACTTATCTGCCCTGTAACTCACACATCCTTTTCCCCAGCAAAGGAAACAGTTAAAGCCAGTGTCCAGAGTGAGGGACTGTGCATAAAAGGTCCAGCAGAACTGAACAAGCTACAGGAGATCACCCAAAATTACAGCAAGTGAGTGTGCAGAACAAAGGAGAGAATCCATTTCTAAAGTCAGTGACACAGATGACACAGTTTTGTCTTCTGATTACAGACAGTGATGTGTGGACAACAGGAACAGCCAAACTGGGAAACAAGTTGTCAAGTGTAAGTCTTAATTACAGAACTTTTATGTTGGAATTGTAGATTTCTCTTGCAGGAGGAGGGGTTTTTCTGCAGTAACTGTGCTCCTTTGGGGGTACCTGAAATAACAAAGTGGTGTAACCACACACTGACACCTCCCCCTCCTGCCACTGCTGGGAGGTGCAGAACTGACAGCAAGCTGCAAGCCAAAGGGAAATCCTGGGTTTATCAACTATTTCCAAAACGGAGAATTCAGAGAAATGCTTTGGCAAAGCCTGGTCCTCTCCTTGTTTCGCTCTGATCTGTTTGATGAACTCACCACAAAGGTGAAGGCAATCACCTCCCAACTCTGCCAATACACCTTAAGGCCCTCTCTAACCACTGTCAGCTTGCTTTTCTCCTGAACTTTCCCTCTCTTCTCTTTGCAGAGCTCCTGAGCAGAAAACATCACCAAGCTGCATTTCTTAGGGCCAGGGCTGCTGGTGCTTGGTGTTCATTTGAACCTAAACTTATCTTTCAGCACCCCGAAGGTCCCAACACCTCTGAGCAATGCAGTGCTTTCTGGTTTTCCCAGAGGTACTCCAGCTAATGCCAGACTTGACATCTTGTGCTTTCTCTTTCCCATCGAAGCTGTGTAATAACTCATACTTGGACCAATCTTCTGGAACGGCTCTGGCTCCTCCTCCTTCACTTCATCTGCTGCTATGACGGCCTGGTCATAGGGGTCTGCAAGAGAACACAACCAGCAAGAGAGCTGACAACACCCTCAGGTTTTCCTTCTACAGCTGCACGGGCACTGAATGCTCCTGCATCTGTAATGACATTTCGATCTGTAACAAGATTTCAAGACAGGAATTATAAACCTAATGATCCCTCTGCCTGACTTGTCCCTCCTCCTGCTCCTCCTCTGGTGCCCCAAGCAGATATCGCACCCCTTCCAGATCAGTAACATGCCTTGTAGATAAATAGTGTTTAAAAAAATACAGAGAAAGACTGAACATTGCAAAGCCTGATTGATGTTTTCTGATTTTCTTCCAGTGCATCTCCTGTCTAACGATGCTGTACTATCTGAAAGTGGGCACAGTAATGCAGTCTGCAAGTCAGCTCACCAATACTGACCAGTATTTGTTATACCACCTACCAGCACAGCTAGCAACAAATCAGAACCCAACCCGTTTTAGAAAATAATTTAATTTATGCCTCGAACAATTCTCTAAATCACCAGAGACATGAAACACCGGCTTCTTTGGTTTTCAAAGGCCTGATCAATTGTATGTACAACAAAAGCCTGGTATCTGCTAGGGCTGGGCATCGACCTACTGCTGTACACACTGGGGGAGGGAGGGAGGGAGGATGCTCCTCTCCCGCTGCAATCAGTGACTAAACTCCCCTGACTCTTTCTAGTGTAGGACTGGACCTGCTGTGCCTGAATTACCGCACGTTTGAAAAGGTTTGTGAAATAAAGCACACGAAGGCTTACCTGCCCGGTTTTCTGGGGCCCCTTCCACACTAAAAACTAACACAGAATAAAAGAAGGAGGGGAAGAAACAAAACAGAAATTAAATCCTCTCAAATGGTCTTGTTTTCCTCCTGCATTTCACGCACCGCTTCAGCATATTTCAGCCCCACAGAATAAACCAGGCTTCGTGCCCCAGTCCCTCCTCTTCCCAGCAGCATCCACACAGGAACTCCTTGCGCATGCCCAGCCCTAACGTACACAGATTCTCAAGGCCTTTGTTCTGCCACTGTCACAGCCCCACGCCAAGTTCAGATGCGCAGCTGCCCCCACTTGTGTTTGCTAAGACAGAGCCAGCTCCTTGGAGGAACCCAGACAAACGGTGTCCTCGCAAGACACACGTGGAAGCCGCTTCCAAAGCCCTCTCGTAACCCTCGGCAGAGCTCCCTGAACCATAGCTATGAAGACACATTTCTGACAGGAGCAGACACCTCCATCTCACAGTAGCTTTCAGCCCCAGCAATTCAATTTTGGCTCCCCGCAGGAGGAAAGGAGCTTGTGGTGGTGCCCTGCGAGGGAACGCTGGCTGTTCTCAGAGCACGTCCAGATGTCCACATGTTCCAGTCACAAACAATTTTTCTGGACACTACATATTGTGAAAAACCACTTGCTTTGCCAAGACAGTCCAGACATTCAAAACGCTCTGCTTTCCAAGCAGCCTCTCTAAAGCTCTGCCAGGGCTCCCTCCTTGGCCAAGTGAGGAGCAATACCGACAGGCTTGTAGCAGATGCAGCGAGGGTTTGGAGTCAAGGAGCTTTAAATGTAAGTCTATGCTTCTGGGAAGCCAAAGACAGTATGTTGTTATTCTGTTTCCCCTGATGGAGAAGAAAGAAACACTGCTTTTGGAGGAGGGTGTCTGCTTCTGTCCGCGTCGCCAGCCTAGGCCACAGCTACATTCAGAGGAAAAACTGCCCTGTAAGGTCCACCGACAACTGCATCCGTTCACTACCACAGTGATAAGCAAGAGAAACAGCATTTCTCAACTCTGAAATGTGGCTTCTCACAGAGGAGCACATTGGGAACAACCCTGTGAAGTCAGAAACCAAAAGGCAACCAATTCTTGCCCAGTGAGCAGCCAGACTGACAATTTACCTTGAGGGACTCAGCTCTAAGCATATCCACCCTAACCATGAACCTCAACACAGACAGGAGGACTGCAAGGACTGCAGGTCCCACCAAAGGGTTTTATCTTGATGCACGCAAAGAGAATCAAGTGCAGCAAACTTCTTGCTGCAGCGCCCGTGGCCTGTGCCTCCACTGACAACGGCGAGCGAGCCACGCTGTGCAATGTCCACGTGTTCCCCAGCGACTTTTCATTCTAGTTTGGGCGTCTACGTGTCAGAACAGTACTCACCATCCACGGCATGCAGGTCTCTGTGCTCTTGGAAGCAGCTATAATATTTGTATTTTTTCCCGCAAATGTCACACGTGTACCTAAAATTGTCTGTTGGGAGAAGAAAACAGGCCATGTCAGAAACCTTGAGGTAAAAGGCAAGCACTCCAGATGACGCTGCTCTATCAGACACCCGCATGCAGCTACACTCATCCCACATGCTCTGTCAAATCTCTACGGCACACAGACAACCCACATTGACCCCCATGCCCCCCACACTCTGTGGCTTGGGGCATGTTAAGATTTGTTATTTGTGATCTCTGCAATCCTGTACAGCCTCCGTAAGAGCTCACAGCAGTGCAGAGCAGCAGGCTCTGCTGAAATCTCCTCTGGAAGTTCAGGGCTATGGTAGGCAAGTACTGGTCAGGATGGGGACAAACTGGCAGAAGTAAACACAGAGCCAACGTATGAGCTGCTACAAGCCAATGTCTCAATGTGCCAACTACACAGCATGGGCTGGATGTGCCTGCGTGCTCAAACCACACTTGCTTCTGCCTGATGACTGCTAACTGCATCCAAGATCCTCTGTGGGCACGTTATCAAAAACCAAACCAACGAGAACCAACAACCCAAACCACGCAGGACAGGAAGGCGCTGTGAAGAAGAGGACTGAGGGAGCCTGGTTCCCTATGTTTGTACCCTGGACACCCATCCTTCATCCCAGCAACAGCAGAGCCTCTTCACCACAGCTGTGCAGGGAAGACAAGACAGATGCCAAAAAGCTCGAGATGCTCGTGAATCCCTCCTGGTCTGAGTGGGACAAGGAATGAATGCCTTTGGCTCAGCTATCCCAGCGGTGTAAGAGGAAAAATTCACTTGTCAACCTGGGGCTTTTCCTCCTTCTATCTGCCATACACCCGGGTACACAGACTGACATCCGTAAGTACCCACCTCACTGGCTTGCATGCCACTGCCTTGCTGCAAACAAAGTAAACCACATCAGCTTGTGTAGCCACAGAGGATCTTCAACCTGATGTGGTTTACTTCACACCAGGAGCAAGCCAGGAGCGTGCACACCAACTACTGCAGCTGAGCTGGCGTTCAGTGCGCTCCCCTGCAGCAGCTCAGCTGTTTGTGTTCATGTAGCCGTATAATTGCAAAAGTAAAAGCCTTGATTTTACCTCTTCCACGCTGTGTTCAAACACACCAGAGTATGCACATTAAGCAAGCTTTTATTTTACTTCTCGATAATTGCCTATTTAAATTAAATAAATAATTTCAGCTAGGATAAGCTTTTATTTTACTTCTCGATAATTGCATATTTAAATTCAATAAATAATTTCAGCAAGGATGCACTGGTACAGTCCAATCGCTCACGTGGCTTCACCACTGCAGCCCATCAGCACTTGGGGCTTCAGCACTAAATGAAGGATCACTTCCCACCCCTTTATTCTGCTTGGCAGAATTAAAGTAGAAGCTATGGTGATCTGTAAGAGAAAAATGCCCAATATAAAAGGTGTTAAGCACCTGGGCACTGGAACTTCACTCCTGCTGCCAACAAATATCTGTATCTCAATCAGAGCACAAGCTCAAGCTATGGGATTTTTAAAAGTCCAGGCTGGAGAAGTGACAGAGCCCAGGTGTAGGCACTGAGATGAAAAGGTTTGGCTGCTTCAGACCATGCACTGCTTCAGGAAGAGCAGGAGGAGAGCAGAACACGACTGAGAGCACTCACGTGATGAAAGCACTGGTGGGTCACACTTAACTACATTTCAATACATATAATCTCATGCAGTCTCCTCCTGTGGTCATATCACGGTGCTGAGGGTCTCAGTCTACCCTGATCCTTTTTGACTACAAGAATCTAATGATCCCTAGTGAGTATCTGTGTATCTGCTGCAAACAAAATACAGTCAATTATAAGCAGAGAAAATTCCTAACGTGTCGTCAGTCATCAGTCCCGCATCGCTGGGTGTCCCAAAGACAAGAAACCAGCCTCCTTTTTGAAGTGTAATGAGCCATGCAGCAGATGAACTGAAGACTAATCCTTCAAATGAATACCAAATACGAAGTGCTTTCAATACCTCCGTTTGGAGGAAGAAAACTCTTATGGCCTTAGTTTTGAAGGGATGTGCTCAGTAAATAAGGACACTCATTAGAATAAAACTGAACGCCAGGCACAACGTCTCACAAACTCAAACAGGCATGGGTAGCTGTAGTCTCTATAAACGAGGAAAGATTGTGAGGATCTCGCTGTCAGCAGCTGGGACTCAAGGAGCAGACACTGGGTTCGGCCACGTCCTTCCCTAGGCAGTGTGGGGAAATGAAAATGTGATAAAAAGTATAAGAGCACCCCAAGGGAGCAGGGTTTTGCTTGTTTTGTTAGGGGGCTCTTTTCCCTATGGAAGAATGACCTCGAGATTACAGTGCAACAAGTCGTTATGAGAAGTAAGAATCTGTTCCAGCTGGTATTGGCTTCCTCGACTCTTTGAAGGGGGTAACACCCAGCAAACGGTGCCAAGGCTCACAGATGAGGTTCATGGAGAATCCAGAGGTATCAGGAGGCTGCTGATGTGCAGTAAGCTTTACCGGATCTGATCGATGGTCACTCTTCCAGTGCCAGACTTCTTCCTTCTTACCCAAAAAAGCTGCCCAATGCTTCCAGTAGTGACTTTCGTGGCTTTCTGAGCAAGGAACTCACTGAGCAGAATGAGTCTGTATGCTACTACTGTTCCTGCTCTGGGTTGTAACTACTACACCAAGGTAGACTCCAGCCAGGGCACCATGCTCAATGTATGTAACACCAGAGCTCTCATGGGAAGAGCTACGAGGGGCTCTGAGAGCTCAGCTGTGCCTGCAAGCCCCTACTGAAACCCTCATCCCGAAACCTCTGATGAGATGGTACCTGACACAGCCAATGCTACTGAAGCAAGTCTGCCCAGATTCAAGCTCTCTTCTATCACCACATAGATATTAACACACCAAAAGTAAAAAAACATACCAACAGGCACTATTAGGACTTGTTAAACTACAGGGGAAGGTAGCAGCGAGCCCACCAGCGCAGAGGTTCAGCGCTGTCCCTTACAGGAGCAGCCCTGCAGAGCACATCCTGGCTGCAGGCTGAGCAGTCCCCACATCACACTGCTGGAGGTTCAAAATGCTTAAACATCCAGCTAAAAACCAAACTCCAGCAAGTATCATTCCTTCTTCATGCTCGTGAGCCTTTCCAAGGGCAGCAGAGATTCCAGAAGGAGGGCTAAGGAGTAATGGCCTTATGTCAGCTCACATTTCATCTCATGAAATACATGCGCCAAAATACAGCATCACCTCTTACTAGAAAAGAAGGGAAGTGACAGCCGTGTCACAAGGCAGCTCCTCAGACATGAGAGCCTGACACACTGAGATGGCAAACGGGCAGGTTTTTCAAGTACCTCAAGAAATAACTCCATGGGACCTGAAAGCATTTTGACCATTGCAAGTGCTCCTCCAGTTAAAGACAGGGAATGGGAATGTGCTGCTCTTTTCTGCCTGTCCCTGCGGGCTGCTGCAGTGAAATACCCTGCCCTAGGGATGAGCAGCCAGGTCACCTTTCTGCCCAGATGTTACATTAAATATTTTGGGATTTTCTTCTTGTTTTGCTTCCAATATTCTGTAGTGAAGAAAGCACGTATTTCATTTTGGCAGGAAAGAGGGAGGGCAGAGGAGCCGTGCCCAGCAGTGGTAGGCAGAAGAGGCTTCTTTCCTTAGGGCACTCGGCTCAGGACCTCAGTGGGTTTTGCTCTAGAAACCCAGGAAGGGAACGACAGCAATCAGAAATCTGCTGAAAGGTCAGGACTTCTGTATCACAAGCTAAAAATACAGTGCAGGAATCGGAGACCACAAAAACTCTGTACAAACCAGTTTCCACTGGGCTCAAAGAGCTCTGTGCAGCACCCGAATTGGAAACAGCTACATCCATCATCCAGACGACATCCCTACAATGATGACAGTGCATCCCCGTAGGTCCAAAACGATGGGGTCTCCACACAGGGGGCTGCGGGGGCTCCTTAAGGACTTCTCCAAGGTCAAGCACAATTTTCACCAGACCCAGAATTCATCCTGACCTTTCAAATGGAAGAAGCCACAAAAGCTTCTTGATAGAGGAGCTCTCATGGCAACTACACACTCTGCAGATACTCCTGAATCCTAAGTGATCCTACCCTCACACAGCACTGCAGAAACAGCTCTTTAGTAGGGACACCCTTCAAATGTGGAAGGGTAAAACTGCTGAATGTAATTAGACAGCAATTTCTCCTAAAGTCCAACAGTTTTTAGGAATAGTTAGGAATAAATTATGGTCAAGGTAGCACCTTTACATCAGGTTTGAGAAGAGCAGAGGAAGCACCAAACCCCACAAACTCCGTGTTCCTGGCTCACCTTGGGAAATCAGATTTCCCAAGCAGTTCACAAAGCCCAGCAGCATCTCTGAAAGGGGAGGGGGCCGGATTTCTTACAGTTAAACCCACTGCAATATATTTATCTGTCATCTCTCTATTTGAGGTTGTGACATTTCTCCTCCTGACCAGGCTTTCCAAGTGAGGTTTATGCACAAGGAAGTAACAGCATCGTCCCTCCAGCCACGGCCAGCGGATCAGGGACGGTCCATGAGATGCTCTGGTGCTCAGTTTCACATTCCTTAACTGCTTCCTGAAAAATCTGCTGGCAGACGCTGGAGTCCTTGTGAGTCCTGCCGCTGATGAACACAGGGGTTGGAGCTGTGCAGCAGTGCCTGAAAACAGCATCATCTTTCCTGGCTGCCTCACTGAAAGGAACCACGAGCAGCTCCCAACACTCTTCAGTAAGAGCCAAAGCCACCACGACTGAACCACCTGATGCAAAGAGACAGCAAAGGCTGGCATTTTCGGAGACATGTGCTGCATGCTTGTCACTGGGAAACACCCTTCCGAGCTGTGTCCAGCGCACAGACTGTCTGAGCAGCCTCCCCAGAAGACCCACAGTGCAGCTACCGTTTCCTTACAACACAGCAGGGAGAAAATAAAACATCTGGGACCCTCACTTGCTTCTGTGGCTTCCACCCAGGGCAGCACAAAGACAGCTCTGGAGAGAGGCTTCTTCTCCCTTTCAGCAGCGCGAGGGGCACCTGGAGGCGAAGGGAAAGGAACACGTTTATGGCTTCCTAAGCTGGCAGGATATTCCCCACACAGGTTCACGGCCAATTCCTTTCACCTAACCCCTAGGCATCTTTAGGGGCTTCTTTTTAGATGCTGGACTGGCAGCGGGGAGAGGTAAAATGCAAGTCTGTAGACATAGAGCTTACTGCCTGCACACCTCCATCTCCTCCTCATTCCAACTCTGTTCCTGCATAGAGTTACGAGCTTTACACCTGCATTTTACAGCCACGTAGAGAGCTGCCAGTAAAACCAGTTGCCATCTACATCAGAGCTCAACTTAAAGGTGTCTAACGGCAAAATTCCCTGAAAAGGGAGCAGGACTGAGCCCAAAGTCAGCAGCAACCCCTGAAGAGGATTAAAGTATCCCGAGTTACATTAGCAAGGATTAGATAATAATAAAATCCAGAAATTTGGAAAGGACAGAAACCCTCACACACGAAGGCACAAGCCAGCTCCTAAACTGGGGTTAGGAAAAGACTTCCCTTGTGGGCAAACTGTTCCAAAATCACTCCGCTCCTGATCATCCACTTCCTTCCCACAAGCACTTGGCCTTCGTCAGGAACACAGGAGCCATCTGGGCACACAACCCAGCACGGAGCTTCGCAAAGAGGGGTCCTCAGGCTGCAAAGCACCAAGCCAAAAAGAAGGTAACCCCAAATCCTCAGGCTGAGGGGCCAGATCCCTTCAAATTGCCAAAAACAAATGGTGCAAGGCGTTAGCTCACCTTCAAGCTGGCAAGGGGCTAACTGAGAGGTGAGAGGGACGGGAGCCACAGCCTGTGCTGGGTTTCCCATTGAAGCATTTGGGAGCTCAGTGCGAGCTGCAGACACTCGGTAGCGACGGGACTGACTGCACCTTACAGCATTTTGAAAGCTGCTTTCAAGTAGGTGGTCAGCAAATTCTGTGAATTCTGTGATACCTGATCCAAACCACGCGTCAGCTGAACGTACCGGCACGATGGAGATTTAAATGCAGGGCTGTGTGTGATCCCTCCAGGTTTGGAAACTTGAGGCCAGTCTAGCAGGAACTTCCACACAGAGGGGAATATCCTGAATTAACTCCTGAAAGACTGCCCCCTTGTTCCTGACAGTCTGACTGTCACGTACTGTAATGTCATTTAGGTTTATTTTTGTAGTTTGGGTACTACTCTCTGGATGCTGAGAGGGGAAAAAACTTCCTATGTGTTCTCAGGATGTTACACATCAACGAGTTTCCTTCTCCCACAGTTAAAAGTTATGTTAAAGTTGAACCCAAACAGACAGCAAATACCAGCAATTTAGAGCAAAAATATTACGCCATTTTACAATTATCAACAAAATCAGCATTCAGACTCCATGCCAAAACTGAGACACCAGGCAATATAACCGAGGCCAGCAGATCTAGTTACGTGCTTCTTCCTCCTGCTGTCCCCTAGGGCAGTGTTGGATTCTTATTTAAACTGTAGCTAAGTGTAAGATAAATAACGTTGAAAAGCCCGCGTTAATGTGCTACTACCAGCAATTTGCTAATGAACAGCCTCAACCTTGCATAATTAAATACGCCAGCTGCACTCGTACACCCCTAACTCGTGGATGCAGTAAGATTCCTTCTTTAGAGCAATGAGGATGCTGAATCCCTGCCTTCGGGGAAAAACTCAATTCAGCCACGTTGTGGAGTTACGCACAACACGCAGTAATTTTATTTTAACGTCTTTTTGGAATCAAAATGGTTTGGCTGGGAACACACACTACTTATTATCGACTTCACAACTGTTTAGATTAAATCATGGAGCACTGAGAGTTTCACGAGGGAAAAGCAAACCTCAACTTGACTTTTTCCTACTCAGCCATGGCTAGAAACGCTGTTTTCTCCGTGATTTCCAGGTGGGAATTCACAGGGAGTTATCACTGCCTAGCTTCCAAAGTGGAAAGGAAAATGATAGGTAAATGACCGAGCAGCACTGAACGATTGATCCTGGCTCCATAAACCTGCATAAGGAATAAAATCTAACTGAAATAAGGAAGGAAGGATGCAGAAATCTGCTCTCTGCAGCCCCTCAAGTAATCCACAACTCTAACCTTTCTGCTGAGGTTGAAAGGAAGAGATCTTGGGAAGATCTTGTATTGCTCTGCCTCTCCTGGCTATGGATACCCTTAGAAGAGAAAACACCGAGACTTAAATACTTAAAACACTCCAGGGGTTTGGGGTTTTGTGTGCTATTTAGGTGCAGTGTTGCTGAAATGCACGCAGCTCAACAGAGGTTCAGGCTGAAAGAAGAATCTGGGATAATTAAAGGCGCTGCTGCTTGGACACCTTTTCTGCTGCCAAATTTCAACCCAAGCGCATCCCTTCTTACCCAGCAACGGCGGGATGTATTTCTATCTTCAGTAATGCTCTCCTGGCATTTTCAGGACAAACTGACAGATGACCTGGGATTACTAAAATTCTTACTCTTTTTTTAATGAGAATAAATGTATTTCTCCATCGATTCTGCTGCCTAGGAAACCCTGTAAGAGATTTATTGCAAAGTATTAACGTCCATGGTAATATGGCCTATTTGGTCAGTATCTGGGAAAGGGGCAGAAATCGAATTTTTAGGCGTTTATTATCAATTTTCTGTGTAAGATCATGTGAAAATCACATTATAGACTACTGGAAAGCTTCCTTTCCTAAAACCTTGGATTAAATCTTGGATGAAATACAGACCAAGTGTCTTCTGGCAGAGCCCAGAACCCAGCTCAGTGTTGTTGTCTTAAAGTCCTGCACCAAAATTTATCATCCTTGGTCTCAGCCCATTGGTCGTTTAAACTTGAAGAGAAACATATTCTTCTATCTGTTAGACAAATGGGAATCTATTTGTTATATATTTATTAGGCAAACGGGAATCAAATGGGAAAAAAGAGACTTTACCTACTTAAAATGCAACAGCATCTGAAAAATAGAATCTGTTCTTATACATCTCCCCAAGGAACGGGAGAATTATTAAATAAGAACATTGAAAGAATGAATCACGAAGTTGTAAAGGTCTAATTGTTCACTTTGGCATGGGGACGTGGGTGTGCACGCACCCTATCCTTCACATCAGGCTTTTAATTGTGTAAGGCAATTGATTTACCAAGCACAACTGTGGGACTTGGCATTTTTTGCTCTGCTACCCCCCTAAAAAGTAAAAGGAAATCAAAAGTTAAAATGTATTTGAAGGAAACGTTCTTAACTTCAAATCTGAATAGTTAAATTTCATTTAAATTTGAATTTTAAGTTTTAAAATTAATCAAGAAATGGGAACGCTAAAGATCCTCAGTGTTAAATTAACACCAGGAAGCCACTCGCCTATCTTTCCACCACTACTCAGAACATTAAAATCACCGTATCCTGTATGTGTAAGGTCTGGGAAAGGAAAAACCTTAACTTTGAAGATATTCAGTTCATGGTTTAAATTCCCAACCCTCAGAACGTTTTTGCACAGCAAGGCATGAGCGCAGTCAACGCTGGCAAGGCGCACTCCAGCCCACATCCTTGCTCCTAACCTTTCACTGCTTTTCTGAAGAAATTTCCTCTTAGGCTGAACTTTCTGATGCTTAGTCAGAGCCCAAAGGGAAATACGTTTTTAAAAGATCAGGCCACTCATTTTTCATTTATGGGGTTGTGAAGTATTCATTCTGTATTCCATTTTGGAAGAAGAAAAATTATAGTTGCAATTTTCTTTTATTCCTTCTTGTAACTAAAGAATGTCACACAGTGCAGGCACACACACTCCTCATGGATGCTGCCCTGCACACAGGTGAGGGGTTTGAATGTGTGTGGCTACGAAACTAGAAGGTAAAAAATAATTCTGTTTGCAGTCTACGACATCCTCAGACCCAGACGGTGCCCTCCCTGCCACCAAACGTTGTCTTAGCCCAGCATCCAGGTCCAGTCTAGCAGCCAACAAGCAAGAATGAGACTCCTACAAACAGGGAAGGAGGAAATAAAGCTCATAGATGACAGCACAGCTATATTTTTTATATATATATATATGCAATAATTGCATATTTAAATTAAATAAATAATTTCAGCTAGGATGCACTGGTACAGTCCAATCGCTCACGTGGCTTCACCACTGCAGCCCATCAGCACATGGGGCTTCCAACACTAAATGAAGAATCACTTCCCACCCCTTTATTCAGCTTGGCAGAATTAAAGTAGAAGCTATGGTGATCTGTAAGAGAAAAATGCCAAACACAAAAAGCGTTAAGCAGCTGGGCACTGGAACTTCACTCCTGCTGCCAACAAATATCTGTATCTCAATCAGAGCACAGCAATGCTAAGCTCAAGCTATGGGATTTTTAAAAGTCCAGGCTGGAGAAGTGACAGAGCCCAGGTGTAGGCACTGAGATGAAAAGGTTTGGCTGCTTCAGACCATGCACTGCTTCAGGAAGAGCAGGAGGAGAGCAGAACACGACTGAGAGCACTCAAGTGATGAAAGCACTCACCATCACTCTGATCAGAATTACAGACAGCCACCAGGAGCTGGGCCACGATCACAAACTAAAACCTACCTTGATCTGAGGCATTAATGCTTCACTACCTCTAGGTACTTGCTCAGAGAGACTGAAGATCTGGTAAAGAGAAATGGCTCAGACACCACAGGGTACCCACTAAAAACTGCACCACGACGTGGGAGTCCCAGCACCAGAGAGGCTGGGGACGTCCCTGCAGCCACAGGTTCCAAAGTCAAGCTCTGAGCTGGGGCTGGCACAGCTTGTAACACAAGAAACAAGAGACACTGGGTTGTCCTGCCTGCTCCACCAACTGGCTTTCCCTTCCCTAGAGTGCATGGGTAGACCTAGTAGCCTTGGAACTGAAATGCGTCTCAGCATCTTCCAGTTGCAGCCTGCAGTAGGATTCTGGTCTGTAGGAGGGGAGAATGTGGTCCATCCATTTCTCAGTCTCTTCTTGAGGGCATTTTGAGCTGGAGAGGATGCTAAAACTGGATCAAAAGAGCTCATCA